AGAGAGAGACTCTCAAATATATTTATATATATTATAGTTATATATATATATGACCTACACACATATGTATATATATATATATATATATATAATTAATAATCAATCTAGATGTTATATTATTGTTATTACTCTCTGGCACAGCACTTAACTGGTTTGAATCCTACTTGAAGGACAGAGAATACTTTGTGTCTGTAGCTAATTACACATCAGAGCTGACTAAAATGACATGTGGTGTTCCCCAAGCTTCAATACTGGGGCCTCTTCTGTTCAACATCTACATGCTTCCACCAGATCAGACTATGGAAAACAACAACAATAATTATGCAGACGACACACACATCTACATAACTATATCACCAGGGGACTATCATCCCATACAAGGGCTGGGTAACTGCATTGAACAAATCAACAACTGGATGTGCCAGAATTTTCTTCAATTAAACAAAGATAAAACAGAAGTAATTGTTTTTGATACCAAGGACGAACGATTGAAAGTCAGCGCTCAGCTTCAATCACTGATGTTAAAACTCACAAACCAAGCCAGAAATCTAGGTGTAGTTATGGATTCAGACCTCAACCTGAACAGCCTCATCAAGACAATTACAAAATCAGCCTCCTATCACCTGAAGAATATGTCAAGGATTAGAGGACTTATGTCTCAACAGGATTTGGAAAAACTTGTCCATGCATTTATCTTCAGCAGACTGGACTACTGTAACGGTGTGTTTACTGGTCTCTGTAAAAAGTCAATCAGAACGCTGCAGCTCGAGTCCTTTTAAAACAATATTTTAATTATTTCACAGAGTGACCTACATTCAGCTGTTGCAGATGTAATTGCTGATGTTGGACTCACAATAAACATGATAGTCGCGCCAGCTTGTGGTGCATCAATGCAATGACACTTTATTGATTATACAGAATATACATATACATTCCATTCAGAGGCTCTGAAATGCATTAAGGGAGGGAGAGAGAGGGAGAGAGAGAGAGAGAGAGCGAGAGAGAGAGAGAGAGCGAGAGAGAGAGAGAGTAGTATATTACAACGTGATGCTGTAGATCACGGATTCCCAAAGTGTGGTGCGCGCACCCCTGGGGGTGCGCGAGCTGCCTCTAGGGGGTGCGCTAGAGGAAACATGTAATGGTGGTCTAATGGTGTAATAATTAATATTAGATACAATTTTAAAAAAATTTAAGTGGGATTTTTCACAAAATAAAAACATGAATTATAAAAATTCCCTTTGTAAGATTTAAATTTAAAATTAAAAACTTACAATTTAATAAATAAATGCACTTCAGCTCCGCCAGACTGTCTTTTAGTACACTAGCCAGCCTAGCTTGTGCAGCTAACGTCAGCTAACAGCTAACTCCATTCATTCACCAACATTCATGCAAATATGCTAAACTGGCTGAAATCGGGGAAACTGTCAGGTGGGACATCTGAAGCTATCAGTCATAAAAGAGGAGAGGAACAGAGAGAGAGAGAGAGAGAGAGAGAGAGAGAGAGAGAGAGAGAGAAACGGAGAGGTGCGTTGGGGAGAGACCGGGAGAAGAAATCGAACAGCTGTGTCCACACATGTTGAGATGTACATGACTATGTCCTCATCATTGTGTTATTGTGGATCATCATCACGTCAGCCTTCTACGGGCATCATGCAAAATGTCACCACAACATTCATTCACCTATTGATGTCAACACAGATTAATAGGACGCTGCTGGTCTCAGTCAGGTCTGGAACCAGAGGATCAACATCAGATCAGAGCTGTGGACTCAAAGACGGTTCCTGAGCTTCTTCTTTGTGAATCTGGTAGCTGAGTAGCTTCATGTCGTTAACAGGAGAGGTCCGCATGTGTTCAGGTGTGTCTTCATGTCATCTGTCCATCACAAGAGTCACAAGGTTATTTTAAGGAACCGGATGTTCAGAATGTAAAAAAATTAGGAAAACAACTGAAAGATTAAAAATTGTTTTGCAATTATAATGTAAGAAGTATTTTCAGGAAACATGATTCAAGCACGTATGAAAACCAAAGAATGTCTAATTTGTAGGTAAAGTAATGCAACACGGATAAAGTGGAGGATTTTAACGACTTTATAACCTGCTCGGTAGTTTAACCTATGATGTTGATTATACTTCGTATTAATAATGTAAATGTGTAAAGTAACTAAATAAATATAAAAGTACATATCGTCAGTAGAAGTATAAAGAACAAATACCTCGTATTTTTACTCAAGAACAGTACTTTCCCATGTTGAAACTGTTAATCAAGATTAAGAAGAAAGTGTTTTCTACCAAAGTGTCATTGTTCATTTCCACCACTAGATGGCGCAAAGTACTAACGTTTATAATTCGACACACATTGACTCTAATGAAGAAAACTACTTTTGTTTGTTAAAAGATCAAAATGTAACAAAGAACAATCACTGTTGATCATTTAAGTCATTATATTGAGAAACCTTATAAAAATAATTATTAAGTATCTCAAAATAATGACTTATAAACTCAAAATAATGACTTATAAACTCAAAATATTGAAAAAGTGCCTCAATATTTTGAATTAGTATTTCAAATAAATTACTTAGCATCTCAAAACAATGAGAAACATTCTGAAAATTCGTATTCAGTACCTCTAAATAATGAGTTACCATCATAAAATTATGACTTAGTATCTCAAAATGATGACTTATAAACTCAAATAATGACTTTGAAATTTAAATGAATGACCGAGTATTTCAAAATGAATGACTTAGTATCTGAAAATGTAAAATTGTCTGTATATTTTGAATTACCATCTCAAAATAATGACTTATCAACTCAAAATAACTACTTAGTATCTCAAGAAAAGGAGAAACCTCCCAAAAACTTTGTCACAATACCTCAAAGCTACGAGTTAGCGTCTCTTTCTCATCATTTTAAGATACTAACTCATTATTTTAAGGTAGTTTCTCATTAAAATCACTGATATGATCTATTTGTTTTTCATCACCGTGGCAGAAATGTTTTTTTCTATAATTCTATATCGACACAAACACATTTTACAAGTTTTCTGTCTGAACTTGAACATCGACTCTTTCACACGAGGAAGCAGACTGAAGAAGCAGAGCGTGGCTGCTGTGAGGTGACCATAAATTAAATGCAGATATGATACGAAACCTTAAAGCTGCTGAGTCAGGCCTCTTGTCAGACATCCTGATCGTCATCAGCCCCCCCCCCGTCTCTGTCTCTCTCTGTCTCTCTCTCTCCCTCTGTCTATCTCTCCCTGTCTCTCTCTGTCTCTCTCTCTCGCCATGTCTCTCTCTCTTCCTCTGTCTATCTCTCCCTGTCTCTCTCGCTCTGTCTCTCTCTGTCTCTCTGTCTCTCTCGCTCTCTCTCTCTCTCTGTCTCTCTCTTGTCTCTCTCTCTCCCTCAGTCTCTCTCGCTCTCTCTCTCTCCCTCTCTCTCCCTCGGTCTCTCTCTCTCTCTGACTCTCTCTCTCTCTCTGTCTCTCTCTTGCCTCTCTCTCTCTCTCTGTCTATCTCTCTCTGTCTCTCTCGCTCTCTGCCTCTCTCTCGCTGTGACTCTCTCTCTCCCTCTGTCTCTCTCTCTCTCTCCCTCGGTCTCTCTCCCTCGGTCTCTCTCGCTCTCTGTCTCTCTCTCTCTCTCTGGGCTCAGGGCCAGATTAACCCTCTGATATGGAACCAGTTTAGCCTTCTTCCACTTTTACTTCATGATTTTCTACATTTTCCAGAAGAGGTAACGAGCTCATTCTAACCAGCTGTTGGAGGTTGAAAGGTCACATCGTTCCCTTCTTCTTAGTTAAAGGTCTCTATTTTCATCATGAGCACAAATAGGTTTAAGTCGAACCTAATGAACTCTGTAGATATCAAGCAGCTCAGTATTGAGATCCTTTACTTAAAGTTACTGTGAGGAACTTTTAACTGGTCCCGGAGGGAGGAGGAGAGCTCAGCTCCCGGCAGCCTCCTCCTCCTCCTCCGACACAGACACCACGCTGCTGGAGACCCAGGACGCATTGCTGGACCCGCTGGAGGGAAGGGAGGCACGGGAGAACCAGAACCAGGACTGAGAGGGGCAGACTGTCAGACCCTGCTGCAGTAAAATGAGAGGATTTCTAAAGAGACTCTGGCGCTCAGAGACACTACCACTTTAGACCACAGGGGGCGACAGAATCAACACTAAATGAAAGTTCCTTGTAGTAACTTTGAGTATAAATGTGTCAATACTACAGTGTAGAAATACTCTGTTACAAGTAAATGTACAAAAGTATTACCATCAAAATATACTTAAAGTAAAAGTACTCACTATGCAGAAAGGGTCAATGATATATATATACAGTATATCTATTACAGTATATCTTAAACAGTTTTCCTAAACCAAACTAAGTGGTTTTGTTGCCAAATTTTCTGTGAAGAATGAAGTTTATTTTGAAAAGACACTGTGCATGTAACAAGAGTATATCGACACGATAACACTTGTTACTAACGTAGCGTAGAGCGCCGCAGTTTGAAGTGTCTGTATTTGATGGGTGGAAATGTGTTCAGCTCTCAATGAAGTGCACGTCGGTCACACGCTGTGAAGAAACAAACAGTCGCTGCGGTCACGTAGAGATTTATTTTATCCTTTGATTAAAAATGATCTGAAATAAACACAGTTTACATAAAGTGACGATGGTGGTGAAGAGGCCACAGAACAGGCCGTCCTTCTCAACAAGGCCACAGAGACAACAACATGGCAGCCGTTTGTTAGCGCTCATCTTCCCTCCAACACACACACACACACACACACACACACACACTTAAACAAACACACACACACCTAACATACACACACAAACACAAGTAACTCCAGTCATCACACTAAACAAGCTAAAACCTCCCAAAATAAGTCTAGAGACAAAATTAAAAAATATTCACCTAACAACACACACACACACACACACACACACACACACACACACACACTAACATACATTCACACACACATGCACAAACACACACACACACTAGCATACACACATTTTATTTGCCTCTCATGGAATTAAAAATGTCAGTTTATTTTCATTCTTTTGGTTTTAATTGAGAGGCAAGTTGGCACATACAGGATAATAATAATAAGTTATATTATATTATATTACTTTCATAAATTTGTTCATCTTTTCCCTGTAAATATATGACTCTAATTTCATAGAAATTAGATTTCTATGAATCAGATTTTGTTTTCGCAAATTTATGACTATAATTTCAGAAAGAATTAAATTATTTTTTTGTAAATTTTTCAATTTTTTTCCCACGTAGATATATAACTTTAATCTCTGAATGTTACGCCCCTCTCCTTGCTCCATAATTACTATTTTATTACACCTATAATGGCCCTAATTGCCATCGCAGATATTTTACATCACTGAGCTAAACAACTAAATATAACTGTAAACCTGAATCTGTTGTTTATTTCACCTGCTAATGTTTGGTTGTTGTGTTATTTGTGACACACTCTATGAAGGGCCGTTAGACACTATCCAGAAATACTAAACACTAATAATTGTATTTTTTGATGATGATTTTCAGTGGATTCTCTCTGTTGAACTCTCCCTCTGTGTTCCGAGGCCGACGTTTGACATTTGGTGAATGAGCAGAGCAAACACGACTCACATGAACAAAAGGGAGTAAAGTCCCGTCGTCTGACAAAGTAAACATGTCAGTCCGCAGCCTCGAACACAGAGATCGTGACGCTTCTCCTTATCTGACCAACAAAAAGAGTCACAGTAAACACTCGGTCACTGACTGGTGAGATGGAAACACACACACACACACACACACACACACACACACACACACACACACA